CAGCTCTGCGGTGAGAGCCGGGATGGGAGGAGGAAGGGAAGTCCCAGAACTTGCGAAAAATTGGTCCAGCGGGCGGCGGACAAAAGTTTCCGAGCGCGCTCCACAGCTGGGCGGCGGAGCGGGCCCCGGCGGCCAGCCCCGCCTCGGATGCTCCCGGCCTCCTTCCTGTGCTCGTGACGGCGCCGGGCGCCGACCCCGCGATGCAGGCTTGCTCCACACCGATGGCTCCCACGAAAACACGTACCCCGCCAACCGAAGGGCAAGGGAACAATACGCACCCGCACGGCCCCGGCCCCCTCCTCTCCTGGCCCCCCGAGGCGGTAGTCGGCGTGACCACTGCGGCCAACCGGGAACGGGAGAAGGGGGGGGCCTGCCCGCGGCCCCCTCCCGGCAGGCGCCGTCCGCCTGGGAGGATCAAAGTCCTTAGAGCAGGGCGCGGCGGATGCTCCCACCGAGCAGCCTCGAGCGGGCACCCCCGCGCTAGCACCCCAGGCAGGCACCCCCGAGCGGACACCCCCGGATACCTTGCGGTGGCAGCGGCGGTTGGGCAGGCGCCGTCATCTCCGCGCTTCCCGGCCCGAGAGGGACTCGAAAGTATGTAGGAGAAAAGTTTCCCCTCCCACATGGGGGGGAGGATGTCGGGGGAGAGAGGGCGGAAGATGGAGAGCAGCGCTGGGAAGATGTTTCTGGCCGGCGGTGCGCGCACCATCCGAGTCCCGGCGGTGCTGGTTAAAAATAAACTCGGCGGCGCGGGTCGGGCCGGATTCCTGCGCTTGGACGGCTAATATGGATGCGCATCAGGTCCTGCTGGCCCGGCGCTTCGGCGACTCGCGCTGGGAGCTGGTTGGCAGAGCCGGCAGCTCGGGAAGGGGAAAGGAGCGGAGGAAGGGGAGGAGGACGAGGAGGAGGAGCGGCCCGACGCAGCCCGAGGGGAGAGGGCTACCCCGCTCATCCCTGCCCGGCCCCACCGCCCCAAGCGCACGCCGCGCGGCGTGGGGCGTGCGGGTCCTCCTCTCCCGGAGACGCCGAACTTCAAAAGTACAACGCGCTCTGCAGACTTCACTCTCCCCATCCCCAAAAGTTCTTTAAAAGGTCGCTCCTGTTGTGCCCCAGACATCTCTCTGCCACCCAAGTCCCGCGAGCCGGAACCCGGGGCACATACTTACGGCCGGGCAGGGTGCTTGGCTCCCAGGCATGATGCAGTGGGGACCGGTGGGCTTAGGGGAGAGAACGAGGAGAGATGCAAACTTGTTCCGGAAAAGGAATCAAAATGGCGTTTCTGGATGTGCAAAGTTCATCAACTCCGCAGTCACTTCCCCTCCTCCTCTTCTCCCACAGGGAGGGAGGTGGGCGAGAAGCTGGCGACCCCGGCGCCCCAGCCGTCGTCCCGGCCCCCGTCTCGGCCCCCCGCCCCGCTTCCTTGCCCGCACGCTCGGAGACTCGCTCTCCCCCTCTCACCCTGATAAGTAGACACATCACGTGTTGCTCCTGCGAGTCTCCTGGGGACGTGTTACTGAGCGGCCGCGGCGGCGGCGGCGGCTTGAGCTGGGGGCGGGTGGAGAGGACCGCGGTACCCGCCTGTCCCCACGCCGCCCCGGCTTTACAGGGGTGACCGCAGTTGCCATCCAGGGATGGATGAAGGTGGAGTCCCCACCCCACCCCCTACCACAGCCCCAGGTTTGCCCTACGCCCTCCGGAGGCGCCCCAGGCCATGGGAGGGCTCGGCCGCCCGAGGGGAAGGGTCCAGGAGGCCGCAGCTGGGCGCGATCCCAATCAGCCCAACACTCGCTAGCCGGCCGCCTTCTCCGGCCACCGCGCCCCCTCCCCTCCAACCCCTCGCTGCGAGCCACTCCCCACCCCCGGCTGTCCATCACCTCACTCCACGGTTTGTTTCACTATTTTAACAGAGGAAGGGGAGAGACAGTGATGCCCGGGAGGTGCGAGAGGGGCGCCTCGGAGGCCCGGGGGCGGGAGGGGGGGAGCATGGGGCTCGGGGTCCCCCGACCGGCGCCGCCCCTCTCGTTCTCGAAGGCAGCTGGATAGGGGGAGCCCCACCCGCACCGTTTCCTTTCCACGCGGTCCTCGCCTTGCATCCAGGTGGGGCGAGTAGATGATGGGGCCGGAGATTAAGGAGCAGGCGCTTCACCCCGCCCCCAACTTCAAACTGTTTCTTTCCCAGGGCTATCCTTCTCGTTCTAGGGCTGCTACCCTGAGCGAGCTCTGCAACAAATTCAACTCTGATTCAACTTTTGTCACCTTCCCTCCCCACACCCCCCAAAAGATGCTTCAGCGGAGCACAGCATGCCCGCAATGGGCCCAGGACGCTCCCACCGTCGCTGTGCCCCCACCCAGAGACCAAACGGCTGATGCTGTGTCATCCACGTCGTTCTCCGAGGCATCAGGGAAGCCACACGCAGTATCTCTTTTTCTCAGAGGGCATCTGTTTCAACTCTGAAAAGCAAGGACCCTCCTCTGAGCACTCTCCTTCTTTCTGGCTCCTGCCACCATTCTTAGCCCTGGCTACCTTACCCGGAGTTATCACTAAGCCCAGAGAAACCAGGCCTAGGCTGTGCTTCCTCCATAAAGCAGCTGACATGTTTCCAACTGTTAATACTTTAGCTACTGAAGTTCTGAAAGGGGCCTGTTCTCAGCCTTTGGAAACATCTTCAGAAAGATAAGGATGATTGTAGTTGTTGAAAATAAACACCACCATGTATCTCCCCCCGTTCTAAAGATGAATGTGCAGAGAATACTACTGTAGAATTCTGCATTTGTGACTGGTTAGGCAAGATGATGTTATGCAGACAGAAAGTTGTCTACTTTCTATTTACTATGACCTTTGACCCTGGCCCCACCACATCAGCTCCTCTGAGGAAGCTCCAGCACCATAGAAAGTTGTAAACCCAATTGTGGGCCTTTAATTTGAGGCCTTCCACTGAATTCTAGTTTTCAGGGCTGCAGACAGAAGTGTCTGTCTCAGGATGGGCCCTGGCCAGGAGAGAACTCTCTAGAACCAAAGAAAAGCAGTTGAACTATTAGATCTGAATTGAGGTTAAGTAGGATAAACCACTGCCTGAGAGAGAACCAATTCAGCTGGCTGTTTCCTTTACTTCCAATCACCAAAACTAAGTTTTCAGAACCTGTTATGTTTCCCAGGGTCTACTGTTTACTGAGGAAAACTTTATCCAGAGAAATTTTAGCAGTTGCATTTTTCTGAGCCTCCCCTCCTCCCCTACCACTGTCCCTAAGTGTATTATCAAATGCCTTTTTTGAAGACAAGCCTGTCAAGGAGGGAATGGGCAGGTTTTTAAACAGAAGTAACAGTTCAGTCATGATAGAATTGGTGTCCTGTGCTTCCAAGCTGTAACACGTTAAAATGAGAGGGCAAGTGAAGGGCCCTGTGGGGATTGCTACTTGATTTATTCACCTTCCCTTTAAATCAAGAGTTAGCTTTTCCTGGTCTCCCCATTCAGGGTAAAGTTTTGAGCAGGGACAATATCAAAGTTGGGATTTTACTTGTAATTTAGAACAGTCAAAACATCTAAATCTCCAAAGCTACATGAATTTTCATGACAAATGACTACCTTTATGTTGTCATCTAGAAAATACTGGCATCCAGGTATGGTGGCTCCTGTAATCTGAGCACTTTGGGAGGCCATAGTGGGAGGATCACTTTAGGCCGGGAGTTTAAGACCAGCTCAAGACATAGGGAGACTCTATCTCTACAAAAAATAAAAATTAGCTGGGTGTGGTGACACATGTCTGTAGTTCCAGCTACTCAAGAATTGGAGGCAACAGGATCACTTGAGCCCAGAAGTCACTGCACTCCACTGTGGGTGATAGTGCAACACTCCATCTCAAAAAAAGAAAAGAAAATACTGGCAATGAAAAGAAGTTATTAAACAGTTTTACTACAAGTTTTTTTGTTTTTTTTTTTTTTTAGACAGAGTCTTACTCTGTTTCCCTGGGTTGAATGCTGTGGTATCATAGCTCACAGCAATGTCAAACTTCTGGACTCAAGCAATCCTTTTACTTTTGCCTCCTGAATAGCTGGGACTATAGACCCCTACCACAACACCCAGCTAATTTTTCTATTTTTAGTAGAGATGAGGTCTTGCTCTTGCTCAGACTGGTCTCCAACTCCTGAGTTCAAGCAATCCACTCACCTCGGCCTCCCAGAATCCTAGGATTACAGGGGTGAGCCACTGTGCCTGGCCAACTATAAGTCATTTTTTAAAAAATTGGATTCTAAGGGGCGGTGCCTGTGGCTCAGTGGGTAGGGCACTGACCCCATATACTAAGGGTGGTGGGTTCGAACCCGCCTTTGGCCAGCTAAAATGGCAGTGGCAACTGAATAAAAAATAGCTGGGCATGGTGGTGGGTGCCTGTAGTCCCAGCTACTTGGGCAGCTGAGGCAAGAGAATCACTTAAGCCCAAGAGTTGGAGGTTGCTGTGAGCTGTGATGTCACAGCACTCTACCGAGGGCAACAGAGTGAAACTCTTTCTCAAAAATAAATAAATAAATTGGGTGGTGCCTGTGGCTCAAAAGCGCCGGCCCCATATGCTGGAGGTGGTGGGTTCAAACCCAGCCCAGCCAAATAAATAAATAAATTGGATTCTAAAGATACTGGGTTCTTTGTTCCTCATTTCCAGCTAATTAATACACTTGGACATCAAACCACCTGTTCAAAGGTTTTTCCATATTTCATATAAATACATTTATCCAACAAATATTTATTGAACATCTAATATGAGTCATGATCTCAAACCACAATGAGATGTTACTTCACACCTGCCACTGGATACAATCAAAAAGGCAGACAATAAGTGTTGGAGAAGATGTAGAGAAAATGGAACCCTCATATATTGCTGGGGGGGATGTAAAATCACACAGCTATTTTGAAAAATAGGTTGGCAGTTCCTGTGGAATTATCATATGACCCAACAATTCCATTCCTAGGTACATGCACAAGAAAATGAAAACATATGACTCCACAAAAACTTGTACTTAAATGTTCATGGCAGCACTATTCATAACAGTCAAAAAGTAGAACACAAATGAAATGTGGTAAATTCATACATGGACTATTATTCAGCAATAAAAAGGAATGAAGCACTGACACCTTCTAGGAATGCATGAACCTTGAAAATAATATGCTAAGTGAAAAAAGCCAGACTCAAAAGGACAAATAATGTGATTCCATTTATAGGAAATGTTCAGAATAGGCAAATGTAGAGATATAGAAAGTAGATTAAAGACTGTTGAGAGCTGAGACTCTGGAGGGACATGGACATCAACTGCTAGTGCATATGGGGGTTTGAGGTATGATGAAAATGTTCTGTGGCTATAGTTTCACAATGCTAAAAATACTTAAAAAAAAAATTTAACCATATAATAAGTGAATTGCATGGTATGTGAGTTCTATCACCCCCCAAAGCTGAGATATATATATCTCAGTGTGTATATATACATATATACACATACACACACACACATATATATCACATGCATACACACATATGTGATATGCTAGGTTCTATAGAATAGGAGTAAAACAAAAATGATTATAATCTGTGCCATAAAAGTCTTTATAATTGAATTTCTGTATTCATAAGAAGTGATCATAAAATGCACACCAAGATATATCAGAAGCATTAAATAGGGTGGCACCCATAGCTCAGTGGGTAGGGCATGGGCCACATACACTGACACTGGCGGGTTTGAACCCCAGCCAGCTAAAACAGCAATGATAACCGCAACAAAAAAAATAGCTGGGCATTGTGGCAGGTGCCTATTGTCCCAACTACTTGGGAGGCTAAGGCAAGAGAATCGCTTGAGTCAAAGAGTTTGAGGTTGTTGTGAACTTTGATGAGGCCATGGCACTCTACCTAGGGTGACAGGGTGATACTATGTCTCGCAAAAAAAAAAAAAAAAACAAAGAAGCATTAAAAAGGTACAAAATCTAAGAGTTCAGAGCAAAGAAATGATTTTTCTTTCTTTCTTTTCTTTTTTTTTTTTTTTTTTTTTTTTTTGTGAGACAGAGTCTAACCCTGTCACCCTAGGTAGAGTGCCATGGCCTCATCAAAGTTCACAGCTCAAACTCTTGGGCTCAAGTGATCCTCTTGTCTCAGCCTCCCCAGTACCTGGGACTACAGGTGGCCACCACAAGACCCAGCTAGTTTTTTTACTTTTAGTAAAGACAGGGATCTCATTCTTGCTCAGGTTGGTCTGAACTCCTAAGCTCAAGGGACCCACCCACTTTAGCCTCCCAGAGTGCTAGGAAATCATTTCTGATAAGAATGGTTAGGGTGGGCCAGGCATGGTGGCTCACATCTATGATTCTAACACTTTGGGAGGCGGAGGGAGGAGGATTGCTT